TTCTAAGCAGGCCTTAAGAAACATGAAGTTGGCTCACAAGGCGACTGCTTTCTAGATTTCTGGAACACTCAGGGTCCACTCCTGTTGGCCTGGCATAAGCATTAGTTGTGTACATTGAGAGAGTGCCTGCCTGAATGATAAATTATGTCTCTGCACCTTTTAAGAAGAATTTCTCCTCCTCAGTCTTGACCACATTAGTCATCTTTTGAGCAGTATGTTCTGTTTGCATTCCATCTTTCTATATCCTTTGATGGAAAGAGCCAGGTTTAATTTTATCCCTCCTCTGTTGAACTTTTCACACCTAAAACCTGATAGGCTTTCTCTTTTACTCATCCTTGAAAAATCCAAGCCAAATTGTTAAAATACCTTCAGTGTCTTGGTCTTTTCCTTGCCAACTTAACCCTGTCTTCAGTCCTCCTAACTCACCCTTCTATTTTTGACTTTCTACTTTAATCCCCTTTCCGCTTATTTTTCAAACTGGCCTTCCTGTTCTGCCAGATTTTCATTCTTTTGCAAAATTAATTTTGCCTTATCTGACAATTTGCAACTTAAATTTTTTCCTATTAATAGACCCTGTTAGTTACTCTAGCCCAAATTCTCTTTGTTTTGATCTTAACTCTCTGGTGTTAACTCACATTAAAATAAGTGTTCCTCAGTTCCACTTTTAGCTGGCTGCTTTATGTGTTGCCCTTGAGTTATGCCATAAATTGCTCTTACTCAGACACAGAAGCACCTCTAAATAGCATTCTTTTGCAAGTCTATGGAGAAATGCCACCTTTTTTCTTTTTTAAAGAATTTTGTTCTTTGGCTTATGAGTTTCTAAAATGCTCAGTCTCATTTTTTTTTAACCTGTGGTAAAATACATGTTAAAAAAAAAATACCCTTTTAACCATTTTAAGATGTGCCATTAAGTTCAGTCACAATGTTGTGCAACTATTACCACTGTCTAGTTCCAGAACGTTTTTTATTACCTCAAATGGAAATCCCATACGCATTGAGTATTCTCTCCTCCCCAAGGCTCTGGCAACTACTGATACCTTCTTTCTCTATGGATTTGCTTCTTCTAAACATTTCATATGAATGGAATCCTACAATATGTGGCCTTTGTGGTCTGTCCCTTCACTTGGCATACTGATTTCAGTGTTCATTCATGTCATAGCATGTATCGGTACTTCATTCCTTTTTATGGCTTGTGTGGATAAATGGATTTTGTTGATCCTTTCATCAGTTGATCAGTCTGATTTTTATCCTATATCCTTTTTACTCCAAGATGATATGAGTGGCACAGTAGTATTGATAGGTGCAATGAGAGTGTTAGTAGGGACTGTGTGGGTAATGTGACTGTATGGAGCATGTGTTGGAAGCCCTGTCTACCCTCATTTAGGTGCCAGATTTTACTTTCTCTGTCTCTTACCCTCCGTTTTTTTCCCCTTGTGATTAGTTCATGTTTTGTTTGTTTATTTACCATGATACTTTTGGATTTTAGAAAACACATCTGAATTAAATTACTGAGAGTCCAAAACAATCACAATAACTATCATTTTGATATCTTTTCTATCGATTATTTTCTTGTGTTTAGGTGTTATATTTTTACCCAGTGATGATCATCTTGAATATATAATTTTGTATGTCACTCTTTGTTCATAAATTTTTTTTTACAAAGATTTGAATACCTACAATGTGCTGGGGAATGTTCTGGATACCCTGATGAGTGAATAAGAAGTTCTGGTGGGGATATGGCTTGAGGGCTCATCAGCTTGTAGGTGATATTTAAAGCTATGGGGCTAAAATTCCCTAGGAGAGAGTAGCAAGAGCTGAGGAAGTGCCCAGGGCCAGCCCTAGGGGACCCCAGCAGCAGAGGCTGAGGAGAAGAGTGGAGGGGGGGGGGGGGATGAGAAACCTGGAAAGATGAGAATCTAGAAGAGAAAGTGCCTGAAGGGAGTGGCCTACATGCCAAATGGTACAATCATCCAAGTGACATGGGAATAGAGGATTAACCATTGGGTTTGACAAGATGGTAGTCAGGTTGGAGCTCAGAGGAGTGGTGACGATCATAGCCTGTTTGTAGTCCACCAGGAGCAAATGAGATACTATTTTTACATATTTCTGTATGTTTCATTTATTCTTAAAAAATTTAATGGAAGAACAAAATGTAAGTACATTTTCTTTGTACTGTGTGACATCTAGTACAAATAAGACCAAAATGCACATCTCTGTAAACTTCATTTTCTATTTTTAGCATTTTCTCCTTTGGAGTCCCAAAAAGGGAGGTTCTGGTCCAAGAGCCGAGAGTTTTTTCATTTTGTTTTGTTGTTTGTTATTGTTGGGTATTTTGTTGTTGTTGTTGTTTTGGTACCAAGAATTGAACCCAGGAGCACTTAACCACTGAGCCACATCCATAGCCCTTTAAAAAAAAAAAAAAAAAATTGTTTTTTGAGACAGGTTTCACTGAGTTACCTTGGGCCTCACTAAGTTGCTGAGGCTGGCTTTGAACGCACAATACTCCCGCCTCAGCCTCCCAAGCCGCTGGGATTACATGTGGGTGGGTGCCATAGCTCCCAGCTCAGAGCAGAGCATCTTTAAAGTTTGATTTTTACTTGCTCAAAAACTTTCCAGAAGGACTGAATGGTTTACCTTTCTCTAGCAGTGTGTGAGGGCCAGCTTTTTTTTTTTTTTTTTTTTTTACTATATTTAACGTCTAGATCCTTCAGAACAAGTCTCTTTTTATCAGTTTAGAAATTCTTTTAACCTTGAACTGAGAATGGAATGACAAGAACCAAATCACGTTATGGAACAAAAACTAGATCAAGCTCACTGAGTAGTTATGTTAAACAGAAATGCATGTGTAGTCCTCTCCAGTCATATGTGATGCAGGTGCTTTATGTTGATCCCTTTGCAGGAAGTTCTGGTGAAACCTCAAAACAGGTGTGGCTGAGGGATGTACTCAGCCATGGTCTTCCTCCTCCACTCCTGCATTCCTGTGCAGTCATATAAATGTGATCTGTGCAAGAATTTAAAGAAGTTTACCCTTTTCAATTAACACCTTGAAAATTACCCATTGTGACTACTTGCTCGTATCACAAAATGACTTACACCTTTTCCTGCATGCCTTGGGTAGGCTTTTATAAAAATTCATTGCTTGCAACAAAATTAGAACAACTTCCAGGGTGCTCACCATCTCAAAAATATCCTCTCTTTCTCTTCCTCCATGTCATGTCTCAAGAAACAAACCAACAACAACAACAACAACAAAAACCACATCAACCCACTACTGCATAGTTATTTCCTGGTCCCATTATGAATTGTTTCTCCCCAGCTATAGCAACTGGATAAAACCAGCTGACCCCAGCTGTGTTCCTGAGTTTGCTATTTAACTGCTTCCTGCCCATTCAGGGTTAGCAGCATCTGATGTGGCAAATTCTCAGCCAGGACTGGCAGTGCCAAGTGGGACAGCATAGTAGATTCCCTGGGAGATGCTGGCCCCACTGTAGCTCATCTGCAGTGACCTGTCCTGCTTCATTCCAGCTTGCTGCTATTTGATGGGCCTTCCATGGAAGGATGGAGTGTTGGTTGTATCTGTCATGAGTAGATATGAAGAGAGATATGTCTGGAAATCTCCCTTCCTCCTACACTGGGTCTGTCCTGGAGAGGTCCTGGATCATCACAGATAATCCCCAGTGGAAGATCCTGAGTGACACCTCAAAACTTAGCAGAGTGGTGAAATGTTCTAGAACCTAGCAGACCTGAGTAAATTCCTGCACTGTTCCTGGCTCTGTGGAACTTGTGTGGGTAACTTCTTTCACACTTTTCTCAACCATTTAAAAAATAAGATAGTGTAGTACCAGCCTCATTAAGTTACTGCAAGAAATTCATGTGGTAATGTGTTCATGCCCACAGTGACTCTACACATGCTTATGTTACCATCATTGTCTCACCCTGCCCCTGTTGTTGAATCTTCTTATCATTGCTTCATGTTGGTGGCTCCAACATGACTGTTCAGCCCTCTTTCTGTTTCACTTCTTCTCAGGGAGTTTTGAGAAGAAGCGTGATCGACCCGTTGTTTCCAAAACCTTGGGGTAAGTTCCAGGATGTTTGAGCCGGATTCAGGGTTGAGTTGGTTTTTTCTGCTGACTAGACCAGCACATAGGTTGTAATTATTAAAGGGTGGGAACCTAGTGACCTCCTGACCTGGTAACTTCTGTGGGTAACCCCCTTTGACTGGTCCCACCTGCTAAATGGTAAGGAAGTGGGAGGCATGACTATAGTCTGCAGAGAACTCTGTCAAGACAATAGTCAGAAGATTTAAATGAGCAGACTTAGAAAGGGCAAGTAATAGTAGTTTCTGTAACAAAGAAGCCCCAAATTGCAAAGGCTTACCACAGGGAAAACTTTTTGTCCTAGGAAGGGGGAGTTCATTTCACATGTTCTTGAGCAGGTGGAGAGTCTTGCATGTTCTCTTCCAGCAGCCCAGGCTTCCTCCATTTTATTGCTCCATCTCCTGGAATCTGCATCTAGCCAGTGGTGTGGGCAAGAAAGAAGGTGGAGAACCTTGTGGGAGGTTTCTATGAGTCAGCCCTGGAATTTGCAACAACACCTCTGCTCATGGTCATTGGCCAAAACCCGGACTTTGGCCAGAGCTCAGTTGAATTCAGGTGTCCCTAACTGCAAGGGAGACTAGGAAATGAAGTGTAGCTGCAAGCCCAAGTCGTACAGGAAATAGGTTTTGGTGCCATACATTCTTCCAGAAGTGGCAGAAGAAATTGTTTAAGGTCTAGAGTTGGGTAGGCTACCCTTGAATGGTTTCTGATTACAACTTAAATTATTTGGAACAGGTGGAGGGAGGAGGATCAACTTGCTGCCTTGTGTAGGACTGGATTTTCTTGTGATCTCTTCCCAGGGGAAGATATTCAGCCTCAGCAGGGTCTTGTCCTAGCATCTGGGGTGAGTGTCCCCCAAAGTTTGCTACCAAGCTGGGCCGAGCAATGGCCAGAGAAGGACAGATGGGGCGATTCTCTTGCAAGATCACTGGCCGGCCACAACCACAGGTCACCTGGCTCAAGGTGAGATTTCATCTTTCCTGACTCTGACCCAGGCCAGGTGGCCCTGAGAGCTCGGCGTTAGACCCTGGGACTACTAGGAGTCTGTCACTTCAGTCAGTTCCTTCTGTTCCATCCGTAGGGGGTTCACAAGGTTCCTTTGTATGCTTGATGATGATGCATGGTTTCGCCCCCCTTTGTGTTCTCTCCTGTTGCTCTAATTCTTGTGCTCAAGAAATATCATGAAATTTCTGAGCAAGACGGACCCGAACACCTCGAGGGTGGAATAGGAAGTTAGGATGATAGGCTTGAGGTCACAGCTCCCTGTGTCACAAAGCATGTTGCACTGGACAAGTCATTTGATCTCTTGGAACACTGTTTCCTTATCTGTGAGGTGGGGACAATACCACCTAACTCAAAATGTTGTGGAGACTCCATGTGAAAGTGCTTCATAATCATTCAGGCCTGGGTGAAGGGAATGCAGTGGCCAGCGGGGGGCGGGATGTGGAGGCAGGACAGCAGCATTGGAGTGGGACAGGCAGTGAAGAACAAAGGAACAGGTGGGGTCAAGGCCAGGGAGAGTAGGTTTCCTGGAGTTGAAACTCCTGGATAAATGTGGGTGTTAGGACACCTTTTGCCTACTTCCTAATTCTTCCACACTCACCCTGGGAAAAGCATAAAAGGAATAGGAAAGCAATGAAGCACCGAAGTAAGGAATATAGGGCTCCCTATCTCAAGCTAGGGCTCCTTTGAAACAGTTTCCAGTGCCTTCTCCAAGCTGGACCCAATACCACACCATAGACACAACCTCAAGTCATGCCCTCTGAGCATGTTCACAGAGCCCCGAGCAGAGGGCTGCGCCGCCCAGTATCTGTCCCACAGGATTGACAGGAGGTGGGAGGACAGTGCCTAAAGGTGAGCAGACTTCTGTGACCAAGCCACCCTTCTGCCATCCACAGGGAAATGTCCCACTGCAGCCAAGTGCCCGTGTGTCTATGTCTGAGAAGAATGGGATGCAGGTTCTGGAAATCCATGAGGTCACCCAGGATGATGTGGGCGTGTACACGTGCATGGTGGTGAACGGGTCAGGGAAGGCCTCCATGTCAGCTGAGCTCTCCATCCCAGGTAGGTGCGGGACTATGCAGGAGGACCCCTTCCAGGTGTCTGAACACCCCCCACCCTAGGATGGTTGCTCATTGCACATCTGTATGTGTAAACATGTGACACACTTACCCACACATCCCCAGGGGCAGCGTCTTTAACAGGAAGAAAAGGAGATGGGCCTGCAGTACAGTTCTGGCCCTAGAGGAAGATGCCCTGAGCTGGCTGCCCATTTAATTTGTGTCCCTACACATGGCCCCACCCTGTGTCTTCAGTTCTTCCTTCTCACTCAGACACCTTTTTTGTACCTCTAATTGCCAATTAGAAGAGTGGACATTGCTAACGTCTTGCTGTCACCCCTGCCTAAAACTTAACTTGTTATCTACTTTGTCCTTCAAACCAGATGTTCCCTCAACTTAACTCTTTCTCCTTAGTATTCCCATTTTCCTTTCCACCAGACTGGACATGTTAGCATCCCATTTTATCCCCACTCTTCCTTTCTAGAACCATCAGCCCTTGTCACTTGTTCCTTTGAGATCTGAACATGCGTCCTCCTTACAGTTGTCTTGGTTCCTCCAGGTCCAGCCTGGGGAAGCCAGAGCATGTGGGTGGGAAGGGGTGGACATCACTTCACTGGGCATGATAGCCAATGGTCACCAGTTTCATTAGTCACGGAAGTTGGCTCTGGCTTGAGGATCAGGAAGGCTGCTTCCTTCTTCCTCCCTTTTTTCCCTCTTCCCTTGGGTGATTTTTCTCTTTTCTATCTCCCTCCTTTCTCAGAAACTATGCCACCTTGCCCCTTTTGCTTTTTTGGCTACATTCCACAGAAAGAAATTTGTTGGACACCACAACCCAGAACATATGTATGCGTAGAAACGTATGTAACTGAAACAAGTTTCATGAAACAGCCTTGACGTCTGTACAGTGCACACTGGCATTGTCTTTCTTTTTTTTAATACCAGGGATTGAACTCAGGGGCGCTTAACCACTGAGCCACATCCTCAGTCCTTTTATTTTATTTTATTTTTATTTGTTCTAATTAGTTATACATGACAGCAGAATGCATTTCGATTCATTGTACACAAATGGAGCACAAATTTCACTTCTCTGGTTGTATACCATGCAGAGTTGCACCACATGTGTAGTCATACATGTACCTAGGGTAATGATGTCCATCTCATTCCACCATCTTTCCTGCCCCCATGCCCTCTCCCCTCCTCTCCCTCCCTTGTGCCCAATGTTCCTCCATTCTTCCCATGCCCCTCGCCATTATGGATCAGCATCCATTTACCAGAGAGAACATTCAGCCTTTGGTTTTTGGGATTCACTTACTTCACTTAGCATGATATTCTTCAACTCCATCCATTTACCTGAAAATGCCATGATTTTATTCTCTTTTAATGCTGAGTAATATTCCATTGTGTGTATATACCACCATTTCTTTATCCATTCATTTGTTGAAGGGCATCTAGGTTGGTTCCACAGTTTAGCTATTGTGAATTGAGCTGATATGAACATTGATGTGGGTGCACCACTATAGTATGCTGATTTTAAGTCCTATGGGTATAGATGAGGAGTGGGATAGCTGGGTCAAATGGTGGTTCTATTCCAAGTTTTCTAAGGAATTTCCAAACTTCTAGAATTAATAAGTGAATTCAACAAAGTAGCAGATATAAAATCAATACCTACAAATCAAATGCATTTCTATGCATCAGTGATGAACCCTCAGAAAGAGAAATTAGGAAAACTACCCCATTCACAATAGCCTCAAAAAAAAAAAAACCTTGGGAATCAATCTAACAAAGAGGTGAAAGACCTATACAATGACAACTACAGAACACTAAAGAAAGACATTGAAGAAGACCTTAGAAGATGGAAAGATCTCCCATATTCTATTTTATTTTTCAAATTTTGAGACAGTCTCCCTAAGTTGCTTAGGGCCTTGCTAAGTTGCTGAGGCTGGCTTTGAACTCAAGATCCTCCTGCCTCAGCCTCCCAAGCCGCTGAGATTATAGGTGTGCACCACCATGCCTGGCCATGCTGGTATTTTCTATTCCATTGGACAGCATTAAAACAAGAAGTTCTGGTCCTGACCAAAGAATGTAACTTCGCAACAAGCTCTGGGTCTAGAACTGCTGTCAGTCATCTGGAACAGGGTTCTAGCTCCTCTCCCTTTACTCACCTACCATTGAATTTATTTATTTATTTATTTATTTTTTCTCTTGACTGAGTTCCAATTTATTCATTAAACTTAATCTGGAGGATGTGGATGAATTGGACTTGAGGATATCACAGTTTGAACTGGAAGTTTGAATGCCTTATGAAAGGAACAGGATTTGGCTTTATGTGGTGAAGTATAAAACTCTTGCAGGATTCAAAACTAGCCATTGAATTTAAAAGCCACTCCCCGCTAAGGTTCTTAATGATAAAGTGATACACTGCCTGGGATTTGTTTTGAAGTACTCAAAAAAAAAAAAAAAAAAATCAAACAAAACAAAACAAAAAGGGGGAGATGAGACTGGGGACATATTGCTTTTTCCTGAATCTTGTGATGGTTCTCAGGGTTTGTGACAGCCTTCTCTCTAGTATTGTATATTCTGGAATTTTCTATGATAAAAGTTTAAAAATAACATGGCAGGAAATAAGTATATTGTATGCCTTTTCTTGGAAGAAAGGAATAAAATTTCACTTTCTCCATGTGTTTTTTAAAGTATGTATTTGTCAAAACCAAACACTTTTGGGGGCCTGTTCCTGAGGGTCATGGTAAGTTAGAAGTGTTTGGGTTTGACATTTTTCTAGATGGGTTTTTGTTGGTTGGTTGGTTGGTTGGTTTGTCCCTGCACTGATTTTTATTTCCTTCTGTTTAATGCAAGGGAGTAGATTCCATGGCCCAGGGCACCAGCCACCGTCAAAAAGCCCAGCGAGTGCAGGCCCTGGAGCTTCTATGCTTTCCAGGACTAGAAGTTTCTCAGACAACTCAAAAAGTTCAGCACCAGGGAAGCCAGAAGCAGCGAGGCAGGGTGAGGCCAGAGTGACTGGGAAGTGCTTGGGACATGGAAACTCTGTAATAAAGGAAAGAGATGTGGTCTTATTGTTTTCTCTTCTTGGTCTATAAAATATTCCACTAACTCTCTGTCTCCTCTCCCTCTTCTTCCAGGTTTGAACAATACCAATAGGTAGGTCTAAGCTTTGTGATTGTCACATTTTCCATCTTGAAATGCTCCACAAGAAAAGAATGATGTCATCAAGAAATGCATTGAGTTTTCAAGTTGTGGTACAGGGAGGAGAATTGACTGTGTGGGGTGTTCTTTTGTTTGTGTTTTGCTCTGTTCTCCTTTTGTAGTATGCCATCCAGTTCTACATCAGGGTTATCATTGGTTTTGAGACTCTTGAAAGCTCCATGCCACCCTCTGTCTCGGTATCCTCCCGGTACCTTTCCAGGTTAGCCATGTTCAGGAAGGCGAGAATCCCCCCACTCACCCAGCCAGTGCTCATGAGCTGCCTCCTGTCCTGTATGTGAGGTGCAGAGCTAGACCACGAGTGCAGTCTACCATAGAGAAGGGCTTCAGACATTCACAAATACCTAATTACAACTGTGGTCCCTCTGGGAGGAAGAATGACAGAGAAATACTAATTTGGATTTCAGGGCCAGCAATGCCCTTTCTGAAAACTTCATATTCTAGCTCAGACCTATGAAGTATAATATTAGCACGCGAAGAAAAGTTCAGGAAGAACATGTTCCAAACAGAGGGTCTAACACGTGTGAAAACTCTGAGGTGAGAGGTGGGCTAAGGGGCCCCCAAAAGAACACCTGTGTGGCTGCAGCCTAAACAGTGTCTTGAGAGGGTCCTAAGACAGTGCTCTCTTCGGGGAATTGTATGAGGCTTAGTTTTATTCTTTTGGCAGTGCTTGCTAGGCAAACACACTGAGCTGTGTCCCTGGCCCCCAGTTTTATTCTTAATAGAGTGGAAAGCTGTTGGAAAACCCTTGAGCTTCAGGTGACACAATTCGATTAATGTTTTTCAAAGATTGACTACAGTTGCTCTGTGGAACTGGATTAGAGAAGGGCTATGTGGACAAGGAGAACCGACTGGGTGGTTTGAACTCAGGGCACCAGGGAGAAGAGAAAAGTAGATAAAATAGGCTCTGAATGGAGACACAGGACAGGGACGGGTCAAGAATAGCTGCTGGTGCTGTGTCTTGGCAAAGTGAATAAACTGCAAAGAAATGTTTTTGTTCTTAATTGCCCCTAATTGGTAGGCTTTTGTGATCCTGGAATCTGTGCTTATGATGAGAGATGCTTGTGGATAACCAAATGATTATTCTGTCCCTCCTGCTCCCCCCTCCACTTCTAACCCCACTGCCACTACACAGGTCATTTGGGAGAAGAGTAGAGGTCCCCAATTCAGATGTCAGGAAGGAGGTGACCAATGGAGTCTCAAAGGGGCCGAAACTCGACAGCCTGGAGACTGCAGCTGCAAGTAATAACTGCTCCAGCCCCCGGGGAGGACAGTCCCCCATCTACACCTCAAACAGCCAGCCACAGCCCCTGCAGGAGCCCAAGGTGATGCTGACGGGGGTCTCACCTAGAATCCCCATACCCCCTCCCCTCTCTTTAGTCCCCTCTGTCTAGTCCAAAATACCTCCTTTCTCCTCATAATATTCTCCAGTTCCTTCCATTTACCACAGACCCCTGTCCTGCAGAAGACTTCCAGCACCATCACCCTGCAAGCCACAAAAGTCCAGCCGGAACAAAGAGCACCAATCATGGGAACCCTGTCTCCTAGGGAAGAGATGAGTCCATCTGTTCCCCAGCCAGCCACCCTTTCTACAGGACTGTCGGACCTGGGAAGCCCAGAAGTTGTGAGCAAGGTTGCTACCAGGAAAATCCCCATGGAGAGCCAGAGCCATTCAGCATGGCCCAAGTTTGAGAGTGAGCCCCAAAGCCAGGAAGTCAGTGAAGACCAAGCAGTCAAATTTAGGTGTGAGGGTGAGTAGAGCTGATTAAGGTTACTGGTCCCCAAATGTAGTCCCTTGGTGGCCAGTTCCGTCCTTCAGTATGCAGCTGGTCTGTACCTTCTATATCCACCCATCCCCTTGGACTAGGTGCCCCAGGAAGCCAGAGGTCTTCCCTTCAGGAAGGACTCAGTTTACAAACATCCTTTATTTTAGAGAGATAGCCAATGGTGGTCTGTTGTTGCTTGCAACATAGAGTATAGGCCCTATGCCCTAATTCTGACTACTCTGGATGAACAAAACTCTTCTCCTCCTCATCAAAACAATAAACAGTAGGTCTCCTCTTTCCTTCCTTCCTGGCTTTGGCTGACCAGGAGACCTGGCCCATCACCCCTGCATTTCTTTTCCACAAGGACCCTGACTATCTCAAGACGTTGGAACCTTATGGAACCTAAAGTTAGGAGTAAGGAAACAGGCTCAGAAGTGGGAAGGCCATCCCACCATCCCAGTCTAAGCTCTTCCCTTGGAGTCAGGCTTTCCTCACCCTGCCCCACAGTGTGTTTTTTGCGGGAGGCTCATGTTCTTCACCTGGCCCTGTAGTTTCAGGGATCCCAAAGCCTGAAGTCACCTGGTTCCTGGAAGACATTCCAGTGAGCAGACAAGAAGGCACCATTGAGATTTATGAAGATAACGGGTCCCATTACCTCTGCCTGCTGAGAGCTCAGACCAAGGACAGTGGGAAGTACAGCTGCACAGCCTCCAATAGCCAAGGCCAGGTGTCCTGCAGCTGGACCCTTCTAGTGAAAAGTGAGTACATTCCTCCAGGTCCCCCTGGATCCTCAGCAGGAGGACAATTCATGGGTGCTTCACAGTTGCAGATGGTTCATCTCCTACAGCCCTACACCCAGGCCTGAGTGTAAACAGCACCACCCACGTGCTAAGGCCAAATACATTGCTCTCCATCAGTGATTCTTTTTATTTTTAATAAATTTTTTATTTGTTCTAATTAGTTACACATGACCGTAGAATGCACTTTGACACATCATACATACATGGAGTATAACTTCTCATTTGTCTAGTTGTAGAGTTACATGGGTCATGAAATCATACATGCACATAGGGTAATAATGTCCAGCTCATTCTACTATCATTTCTATCCTTAAACCATCTCCTCCCTCTTTAGTCCCCTCTGTCTAGTCCAAAATACCTCCTTTCTCCTCGCTCCCCCTATTGTGAATTAGCATCTTTATATCAGAGAAAACATTTGGCCTTTGGTTCTTTGGGATTGGCTTACTTTTCTTAGCATAATATTCTCCAGTTTCATCCATTTACCGGCAAATGTCACAATTTCATTCTTCTGTAAGGCTGAGTAATATTCCATTGTATGTGTGTGTGTGTGTGTGTGTAATTTTCTTTATCCATTCATCTGTTGAAGGGCACCTACGCTGGTTCAATAGTTTAGTTATTGTGAATTGAGCTGCTATAAACATTGACGTGGCTGCATCACTGCAGTATGCTGATTTTAAGTTTTTTCCCAACAGTGATTCTTAATCAAGGGTGCACATCAGGATCACCTCAAAATAAGCATGCCCAGCCCCACTCCCAGCCTAGCTGAGTGCTACCTCTTTTAGGTTTCTCAGCTGTCCAAGTAGTGCCATGACTCAATATTCGTGACCTCAGAGCACCAAGTATTCACTAAGTGTACAGATTTAGGGAAATGTGAGATGATGTGGGATACCATATCTTTTATGTTTATTATAATATCTGATTATTAAAGTAATAGATGCTAATTTGGGGGCATTTAAACCACATATAATCTTATGACTTCAAAATAAATATTTATTGTTTTTTGAACAAAATCAGCTTTGTGCTATTAGTATGCTATCTTCTATCCTAGTTTGCTCATGTAACAAACATCTTTATTATTTAATATTCTGTTATTATTATTATTTCTATATTATTTAATTATTTATGCTTTCAAGCATGATTTATGAATGGAGATATAATATTGTTGAATTTTTCAAATCAGTTATTTCTATTTTTTACTATGATTAATAGGATTGGGGGTAGAGTGCTTACCTAGCATGGATGAGGCCCTTGGTTCGGTCCCTAGCACTATAAGTAAAAGAAAGCAAAACAAAACTATGATAAATATTCTAATACCCATTTATCTTTCTATAAAATCTCCCCTTAACTATAAATGTATATTGTGGGACCCAGACCCCTGGAATACCATTGAGAACTGATTAAACAATACCACAGGGTAGAATCAGCAAGCTGCAGGCTATTGGAAACTCTACGGACAAATAACCATTGCCCATTCTTTTCAACAAAGAAAGTGTATACAAAACAAGAAAGAGAGACGGGAAGGAGGAACAAGCTATAGGAAATTCAGATTAGAAGATATGAAAGTGGGCTGGGGTTGTGGCTCAGTGGTAGAGCACTTGCATAGCATGTGTGAGACACTGGGTTCCAGTCTTAGCACCACTTATAAATAAATAAAGGTCCATCAATAACTAATAAAAATATTTTTTAAAAAAGAAGAAGATACAAAAGTGACATTGCTAATTATAATTTGTGGACCTTATATGAATCCTGACTGAAACAATTAAGAGATTATAAGGGGGCTCGGGCTGTAGCTCAGTGGCAGAGTGCTTGCCTAGCACATGTGAGGCACTGGTTCAATCCTTAGCACCACATAAAAATAAAATAAAGGCATGCTGTTCATCTACAACTACAAAAAAAATTTTAAATGATTATGAGACCACCAGCAAAAATTTGAATATCAACAAGATTATTTGATATAAAAGAACTCTATTTTAAGCTGTAATGGTGATCTCATGTTTTTTTTAAGTTCAAACATTGTAGAGATACAGATTGAGTTATTATTAGTGAAATGATGATTTTTGATATTTTCCTTAGAAATAATCCACATTTGGGAAGCATTGGCAGGGTTATCAATGAAGCAATATCAGTACATATAAATGAAAAATTTAAAGAAAAATGTGCAGAGGGATTCACTATGTCATTTTCTCTACACTGTATCTTGTGCATTTTTAATTTCCATGACAAATGCCCTAGTGGTGTATAACACACTAGAATACCAGGAAACCTTTGTCAACTCTTATGGTGAAATGTGTTCAAGATAACACTACTAATGAAAAAGAGCAAAGTGCAAGCTGCACGTATCATTTGTTATTTGTGTTAAAGGAAAAAAAGATCTACGTACGTACATGCGAAAGATGCTTTTATGTGTTATAAAACATTTCTGGAAGGTCACACAAATGGCCCCTAAGACAGGGGAAGCCCATGGGAAAGAGTTGGAGGGGATTTTGCTGTTGGTTCCCTTCTTAACTGGGATTCTAGCTGCGCTAGTTCATTCCTTTGCAAGAGGTATCCTCCATTCCAGGTGGGAGTGCCTGGAGGTGGGCTCACAGGTCAGAGTTCAGCCTCATCAGCCTAGCCAGGGCTCTGTGTCTGGGCAGGGGACAGACATGAGGTGTCAGATACACCAAAGGTTAATGATATTACCCAGAGAGCCTGTTTCTTCTATGCCTTCATCTTTCTGTGAGTTTATCTAAATCTTGCAAGAGACAGTTTCTAGCCTGTTCCCATCTTGGGGCAATTCACCTCAGTCTGGCTCCCTATCTTATTTTGTTTTCTATGGCAGCTTTACTGAGGTATATTTATATAACATAAAAGCCATCCTTTAAAAATGTGTAATTAATTGAGTTTTAATATATCCAGAGTTGTGTGGCTGTCACCACATCTAATTTTAGAACACTTTCTCCTGTCTGCTATTAGACACTATTTGTTTTCCCATTCCCCCACTAATCTACTTCCTGTCTCTATGGATTTGCTTGTTCTGAACATTTCATATAAACAGAATCATACAATATGTGATCTTTTGTGACTGGCTTCTTTCTCTAAGCAGAATGACTTCAAGGTTCAGGTATATTATAGCCCATGCCAGTAGCTTCATTCATCTTCGTGGCTGAATAACATTCCATGTATGGGGATAGCATATTTTGTTTACCCACTTGTCCACTCCATGGCTACCTATTTTTAATATCTATTTTTAATGCCTGTTTTAAATTTTGAGGGTATATACCTATAAGTACAATTGTTGGGTCATGTGGTAATACCTTTTGAGGAACTGAAAGATTGTTGTCCACAGTGGCTGCACCATTTTGCATCCCAACAGCAGTGTACAAATGTTCCAGTTTCTTCACAGTCTCACCAACACTTGTTACTTTCTACTTTTTAATTACAGCCTCCCATGGTCATCTCCTTGTGATTTTGGTTTGCATTTCCCTGATGACTTGTGATGCTGAGCATTATTTTATGTGCTTATCATCTTCTTTGGGGAAATACATGTCCTATCCATTTTTTAACTAGGTCATTTTAAAATTATTTTTTATTTTGTATATTCTTAAAGATAGTAGACCTTATTCTGATCAATTCTGGACAGGTTTCGGGGACATATGACCTGATATCTATGCAGGACAAATATGCCTGAGATGGAAACAATCAGAGGGTCATCCTTGTCCTCAATTTTCGTTGGCATTTTTCAGGATATTTTTTATGGTGTCAACTTGACTCTCCCTTTTGAATCTTTGTGGGTATGAACTAAGAGGGAAGAGAAACCCCTTTCTCAGGTTTTCTGTTGCAACTGGCTCCATGCCTAGCTTCATCCTGAAGCAGCATTCTGGGGATGTGGGGCCACCAGCCAAATAAGACTTTTTTTTTTTTTTTAAAGAGCATGTGGAAGGAGCTGCAAAAGCCCCCTTTCTGGTCTTGCCTGGGATTTTGATCCATAAAAGATGTTTGTTCACGTTCTATTTCTTCCTTTGAACAGAATCAGATAGTGTTTCCTAAATGCATCTCCCTCCTTACTTCCAAATAGGTCTGTTTTTTTGCTTTGGGACTTCCGATGGAGGAAGAAGGCCCACTCTTATTGTTGTGTTTTAAGAGTTTTTATATATTCTGGATACAAGTCCCTTACCAGATATATGATTTGTAATTATTTTCTCCCATTTTGTAAAGTTTAGATTATTAGTCAGATTTTAATTGCTGTGACAAAATATCTGAGATAAAACAATTTAAGAGAAAGTAAAGGTTTATTTGGCTCATGATTCAGTTTCAGAGGTTTCAGTCCATGCAGTGGCTCCATTTTGCTTATGGATTTGTGGTGAGACAATACATGATGTTAGAAATGTGTGGAGGAAGAAATTGCTTACCTCATAACAGCTGGGAGGCAAAGAAAGAGACAGGAAAGGGCCAGGGTCCCAGTATCCCCTTTAAGGACACTCCTCCAGCAACCTAACTTCCTCCCATTAGGCCCCACCTCCTAAATTCCACCCCTCCCCTAGTAGCACCATGGACTGGGGACCAAACTTTCAACACATGGTCTTTGGAAGAAATTCCAGATCCAAACTATAGCATGGGATTACTTGTCATATATGGCCACTGAAGTCTCTGCTAGATTGGTTAATAACTGGATAGAAGTTCCTTAAATGCCTTGAGCCAGCATGTTTTCTCCAGCCCTCTCCGAGGGCTTCTGTGGGTGTTGGGGCATATCTTCAGTGCTCTAGCTGCCTTTGCCTTTACTTCCTGCATTCTCAGAGACTTTGGGTCAGCCAGAGGTGATAGTAGGGCCACCTCAGGTCTTTCTTGGGCATGTGCACAGCTCTGCACCTGCAGGTGGCCTTCTAGGCTCCCAGAGGTATGTCAGAATTTTTCAAAGCCCAGTTTTTTCTTTTAAGATTTTTGGTCAGACTTCTTAGCCCCATCTGACATTGCTGCCTGAGTAGTTGTGATGTCAAGCCATTGTCATTGATTGTTTTGTACAAACACACTGAGATAGCACTGTTGACATAGATCAAGCTCTGAATCAGGTCAAATAAGGACAGTCCTGAAAATGCAGCCCTGGAAGGAGCCAGACCTGTCCAACAGTGGTGGTTCTCTTTGGAATGGGGTTTTTCAGGAGATCTGACCCCATTCTGTCCCCGCTAGGTGGCTGTTTTTTTTACAGATAACCCTAGTTGCTGCTGGTTTTCAAAGCTGCCACAAACCTTGCTGTTCTTACTGAGATTTAGATGGATTTGGGGGTGGTGGTTTGGTTCTAGTATTCATTTGTTTGTTCATAAATGAATGCTCCTCAGAAATTTGCAAGCCTTTGGTTAATCTCCAGAATTCTGGAAAAGTTGATTTAGACTCTCTGTGCTAGTATTCTCACTGCTTTTATGCTTTACTCTGCCATTCCAGAAGTGCTTCGCGACCCCCTGTCTTGTCCTACAACTTCTCCAGCCTCCACAAGGCCTGGTTCATCTTGACAGTTTACCAAGATGCAGGTCATGTGACATGTGCTCTGTTAGCATCTACTACCAACACCCTTCCTCCCTCCCTCCTTCTCCCTCCTCCTTTCCTTCCTTCCTTCCTTCCTTCCTTCCTTCCTTCCTTCCTTCCTTCCTCTCACTGCAGGAAAGCTGTTTCCCCAACCAGACCTCTTCCTGTCCCTTCCCTCTATGAAGGTCTTACTTAACCACAATTTCCTCTGCCTCCCTTTTGCCTCTCTTTTCTCCCTCCAAGCATGCCCTTTGTCTTCCCTGTGCAGAAAAGAAAAGAACCCTTCGCTCTGCTTGATGACCTCAAACACTCTCTTTCACCCTCAAACTACACTTGCTCCAAGTAGTGGAGTTTCTGTGCACAGCTTCCATTTGATGGTAGTAATAAATACCCACTGAGGATGCTCTGTGGGCCAGGCTTTGTGCTAATGCTGTACTTGGGTTATTTCATTTAATTAGTCCAACAGTCTTAAGAGAAAATTATAGTTACACCCATTTTCCTGAGGGTACTCAACTGCAGTGAGGTTAAATGACTTGAACAGGGTCAAATGCCTTACAGAAGATGGCATATTCTAACCCTAGTTGTCCTGGCACCAAAGCCCATCGCCTTTTTGATGACTCCTGAGACATTCCTCAAGTGAGGGAATTTGACACTGACTAGGGAAGGGTAGAGATGGGGCCTCCCTACACCTCTTGGGTTGTCTGTCTGTCCCTTCCTCTGTGCTGAGCCTGCTCAGAGGCACTGTCATTCTGTCTTGTCGCTGCTCTTCCACTGCCTAACTTTCCCTTAGGGTCTAGAGGACAAGGTGTGGCTGTAGAGTCGGAGAGCCGGCTCTGAAACTTGCCCCACCTTGGACTTGACTATGGGAAATGATGAACTGCACCTCTAATGTGAGCTAGAGATGGCAGCCTTGGCTGTATCTTCACAGTCACATCTAGAAGAGTGCCTGGCACATAGTAGGCTCTCTATTACTTGTTTTTTTGTCCACAATCTGCTGTGATGTAGTATGGCTTTCCCCTCATCTCCCCATTGAACAGTCACTGCTGAAAAGCACCAGGGATATGTCTTCTCACCCCTCAGCCATCTTGACCCATTGCACCATGTTCTAATTGGTGTAAAGTAAATGATCTGTTCCTACTTTTCTTAATTAAAGGCCCCAAACCATCAAGTGTTTCCCAGTTCATTGATATAGAAGCCTTCTGGAAAGTTCAGCTTAGAGGTTCTCCAAAAATAGAATGTACATAAGAATCAATGCATATTTCCAGGTCCCAGCAGTTCTGAACCCTTGTTCAGACCACACTTGGAAAACTAAAACACATGTCAGTCTTTGTCATTTGATTCATTCCTGGAATTGGAAAAAAATAGTAATCATAATTTAAAATTGAAATAGCTTCACTGTAGGCGTCTGGTCTCTACAAGTAAAAATCTATCAAGACTTTGTAATCACTATAGGACATTAGGAGAATATGTCCCCAGGACAACAAAGGTCAAGACAGACAGGAGCTGCCTGAGTCAGAGGAGAGAGAGCAGGCAGGGCCAGGTCCTGAGCACCCCAGATCTAAGGTGCTTTGTGCCTGTGAAAAACCCCTGGCCATCCCCCTGCTTGGGATTCAGGTGTCTGGTGCTGCTGTTTCCAAGGTGTGAAGGTAGACAGGATATAGCCAATATTCCAAGCATGCCCAGTGTCCAGGGCAGCATGGCATCTGCCTGTGAGACTTGGGGTGCCCATGATCAGTCACAAGAGTGGGCAAACTGTGATCTGAGATGTTCTGTCTATTCTTTTCCCCCCCAGGGTTGGTTACAATGGGGGAGGCCCCCTCATTCTCCAGTGTCTTAAAGGACTGCACTGTTGTCGAGGGCCAGGATTTTGTGCTGCAGTGCTCCGTACAGGGGAACCCAGTGCCCCAGATCACTTGGCTGCTCAATGGTGAGTCTCCCGTCCCCAGCCCCATGAGCCCTGGAGCCCTGCCTTGAATTCTCAGTTCTCCCTCTACACGATTTGCCCCCTGGAAGCCCAGGGTATGGAGAGAACTCAGAAAGTGAGTCTGGTACCCAGTGACTGAGCAAGTTTCTCCCCTGCCAGAGCCTGAGTTCCTCATTAGCACAGTGGGAACGATGCCATTGTCCTTGGAGGGGGTGGTTATGAAACTAAAGGAGTCCATGTATGTGAAGTGGTTAATGAGGTGCCTGGCACATGGGTGCACACACAATTTAATTTCTTTCCCTACAGTCAGACCTATCAGAGTTCCTTGGTAAATATTTGTTGAGTCAATATACAAACAATAAATGAATAAACTAGTAGCCACACCAGAAGTTGTTGTGGGCGCTTGCCTTTTATTTAGTGGCTGGTGGGTTTTTTAAAAATATTTTTTCAGTTGTCAATGGACCTTTATTTTATGTATTTCTATGTGGTACTGAGAATCGAACCCAGTGTCTTACACATGCTAGGCAGGTGTGCTACCACTGAGCCACAACCCCACCCCCAGTAGTTCTTTCTAATGTTAATTTTAGTTCTATAGACACATGCCAATTTTTTTTTCAAGTAAGGTCCTTTGAAAAAATTAATCACCGTATATTATCATCCTTTTGTTTTTAAAAAGGCCTTCTAATTTCAAAGGTATGGAAGAACTCTGATTTTATAACTGAGAACAAATCCATTAAATGAGTGAGACTGGGCAGGGCCTGCTTTGGGGAGATACAGAGAGTCAGGAGGCACGGGCATTGGCCTTCCCCACCACAGAGTGGTCAGGAGGCCTGAAACACCCCAACTTTACACTTCTGAATACTGACTCCTTTAGTTACGGGAATCTGGGGGAAACAGAAGGTTTGGGGTCTCTACTAGCTCTTGCCTTTGGTAAAATAGGCTCCTTAAGAGGCAACACCCATCCCCTGTGCACCCAATTGTGTCTATGTCATGACACATGGCCTGGGAACCTTCCATGTTGGTAGAGTTTGCTCATGCTTTGCTAGAAAGGATCTTTGAGAAAGTGCCATGTATTCTTCCCATATGAAGTCAGCTTGGTCAGATAAGAGAACTAAGGTCTGCTATCCCTCCTCCCACACCTCACCTAAAGACAGAAATCCTGTGGGGCCCTCTGACTGGAAGGACACAGCCTCCTTGAGGCTAGAACAGAATATGGACATAAGGACTAAACTTCTGCCTGGTTCAGAGTCTAGAACAAGGGTCAATAAACATATTATCTCAAGGACCAGATAGTAAGTATTTTCAGCTTTTTGAGCCATACAACCTGTATGAGCACTAGACTCTGCTGTTGCAGCATAAAAACAGTATAGATGCTGTATGAGTGTGGCTGTGTTGCATTGTAACTTTATGGACAATGAAATGGGAATTTCAGGTCATTTTCATGAGAGGAATTTTTCTTTCATTTTTTTCAACCATTAAAAATATGTAAAAGCTATTCTTAATTTACAGGCTGTACAAAATAGGCCACGGGTCAGATTTGGCCCATGGACTGTAATTTATGGAACCCCTGGTTTACACCTCTCAGGAATGAATTTAGTGAATCTTGGTATTTCCACACTCTTACCACTAGGGGGAGATTGTGCTCAAGTTGGGTTTCTTGACTGTGAACTACTTCCTGTCCAACTCCCCCCAAGTCGAGTTTCATGACTCCCCATTCTGACTCCCTAAGCTAACAGCTCCCTGTTTGTGGGACCAAAATAGGTTTGCTGAAGTAAAAAGAGAGCTCTTACAATGCTTGTCTGCACATTTGGACAGCGGAGGCTTTCCTTAACTGCAGTAAGGAAAGTGTTAGTAATCTCAAGGAAGAGGTTTTGGGGGGTGTCATTAACACCAAAAAATAAAAAAATAAATAAAAAATAAATAATAAAGCAAAGAGCAGTGTTTAATCCACTCAGTGGCAGGGTCCCAGCCCCTGCCTTTCCTACCAGCCCCACTCATATGAGGGTTGGGAAGATTCTCTTTCCTCCAGCCCTGTGGCAGGCTGGGCAGTCTCTTTGCCAAACCATCATGGAGACATGAAGTGTTGCTATGTGCAAGAAGAAAACATTGCATTACAGGGAAAGCATTTCTTTCTGTACTTTCTCCCACCCCCTGCAGCCACCCCCAATTTTATGAAGTGTAAACCAAGACTCTGAGGCCTGGCAAGGAAAGGAACTGACAGTTGCTTCCTATATGGCAGATGGACACATTCCTGCTCTAAGTCCAGAATCTTCAGTAATGAGATGTGTTGTGTTTTTTTCCTGGAAATTAAAGGTTATATCCTGAAATGATAAAGTCCCAGGAACATACAGTATTAAGGAAACTACTGAAGTTCATTGCATACACTCCTGTCTCCACACAGGACTTTGTGTAAAGTGACATGAATAAAGGGCTTCTCACAGAAGGTTTTAGTTCCCCATATTTATCTTTCCATAAATGCTAAAATGCACCTAATTGCACAGAAGAAATGAACCTAATTGCTACATTAGGGTGGGGATACAGAATTGCTTTCTGATAAATATCAGCAGTGGGAAATGCAGTCATTATTTCTAGAGACATCTAAAAGGAACTGGGAGCCATGTGCTCTGTCTAGGCAAGGTCTGCTCTGAGCCTGGGCTATGGGCCAAATGACCCTGTAAGATCCCTTCCAGGCGCAGAATGCTGTGAAGTGGACAGTATGGAATGGGGACTATTAACTTAGCACAGAATGCCCAGAACTGTGTCCCTTTCCCTTCTGCCCTCCTAATTCCTCCAGAATCTCTTTCCCCTGTCTTTCCAAGTCCAGGCTTGCCCTCCATGGGCTGGGCCAGCCCCAATGTCATGACAGCAGCAGCCCTGCTGAGGACAGGTGCTCCCTGGTCTGAGCTTCCTGTGCTTCCCTCCACAGGGCAGCCCATCCAGTATGCTCACTCCACCTGCAAGGCCGGCGTGGCTGAGCTCAACGTCCTGGATGCCCTGCCAGAGGACAATGGCACCTACACCTGTCTGGCCGAAAACTCCTTAGGACAAGTGTCTTGCAGCGCCAAGGTCATCGTCCATGGTAGGAGCCTACAGACACCTTTCCTGCAGACATGTCTGCTCTGGAGGAAGGACACTTTTGTAGAAAATAATATTACTGGCCCACATCAGGGAGCAGAGGTACAGATGACATTGCTGCACACCACTCCTGATCAGCAGTGGCTACGGCAAAGGACAGGCTGCCAGAACCTCCTAGGCTCAGAGGAGGGATTCAAGCGACAGCTCTAAACCTGAAGTCAGGCAGGTGGAGGAGATGGGCTCCAGGGACTCATGTGACTGGGGTGTGCCAGTGGGAGGAGCCAATCTCCTGCCCATTCACCCCGTCAGAGCCAGGGGAAATGCAGGGGAAAGAGACAGGGGCTCCCCTGGCTCCAGAAGCTCCGGATCTGGTAGGAGGAGAACCACCCACTCTCCAAGAAGGCTTAGGAGGAGTACCCCAAATCCCCCGAGAACGTAGGGGTCTTACAAATGACCCACTGTGTCCTGGGGACACTAAGTAACAGATTGTGGGTATTGAGGCCTCTAGAGGGTTGCAGGTTGTCCCCTTCTCCTTCTGCCTCTGCTCCTCCTCAGCACCCCAGACTTGTTTTTATGTGTCACCAGCCTGTGTCCAGTAATCTGATTATCACAGTCATTCATTGATTGGGCAAGCACTTAGTCCCCAGGAATCACAGGGAGCCATAGACTCAAGACTGAGCTGTCTGGGCTGTGGAATCAGGCATGGTGACAGTTCCCGGGCAGGTGCTTCTTGAGTCCAGGGCCTTCAGGTAAGCCAATTTCCTCTCTCACCTGGGGCATGTGACCCCAGTGCCTGAGCATAACTGGGTCCTCCGGGTGCTTGGGCTGGATGAGTGTGTCTTCCCTATCAGGCTAGCAGGGGACTATGCCTCCTCCTTTGTCCCCAAGAGCTCAGGCCTCTCAGGAGAGCCCCCTATAATGTGAGCAAAGAGCTGTGAGGCTGCAGGAGATGGTTTCACAGAAAAGGAAAAAGGGGGAAAATAAATGTTTGTAGCCTACTATTTCACCTCTGTCACTCACTAAGACTGGTGGCTCTGGGGCTGGGGTGCTATCTGTTTTACACAGAAGAGTCTGGAGGTCTGTCTCATGAAGCCAGGGTCACTCTGCCAAGTGCAGCATGCTGGCAAGTAAAGCTGGCCTTCTGAGCCCAGGTCCTGAGACATGAAGCCCAGGCTATTCTATTCAGGCCCTTTTTTGGTGGGTCCTTCCCCTATCCCAAAGCAGCACTGTCCATCCCTTAGGGACAAAGGAACCCACAACCATGGAGAATGTGGCTGATGCTGACTCTGTGGGGCTCTCCGCCCGGAGTGGACCTGATTTCTCTGAAGAAATGCTTCGGCACAGAATCACTGGTGAACTGGCCTGCCCCTTCCTTCCAGGAAGCCCTCCCCACGTGGGTCAGAGCTGCCGCGGGCCCTGGGAGTTTCCCAGCCAAAACCCTGGTGGACACATTTCTCCCAGTTATCCTCATAGTTCTAATTTCATGGCTCACAGGGGCCTTGGGAGATTGTGGCATGAGATTTCTGAGGGAGCAAGAATGGCTCAGAGCCTGGTCTCCAGGGGCCAGGGGAACAGCTCTTCCCTCCCACCAGCTGCTTTTTCTCAGAGGTCCGTGTGGCACATCCCAAGTCTATAAAGGACCAGAGGACAGCACACAATGGGCCAGGCAGCTCTGCCTTCTCCCTACTGAGACTCTACTCACCAGCCTCAGCCAACCGCCAGCTAATCCAGGGCCTGTCCTGGGTTGTCTGTGTTTAGATTGGATTAGAGAGACGCAGCTGAGCTATGGGTGTAGAGAGGTGGGGTCTCCGGGATGAGGGGTCAGGAACTCTTTGGGGGCTATTCTTCTGACTCCTGGGTCTTGGGGGGAGAATGGGGTGGGGAGCGAATGATCGCCCATCCACATGTGTTTTAAAGTAGGAAGAGAGGTCTCAGCAAGGACTCCGCCAGTCCCCTTGTTCTAAACGCAGCTTGCGTGAGTGAGAACCCTCTGGTGGGGGATTTACGGGCCTGTCAAGGCCAGACAGAGGCTCAGATACCATAAATGGTGATCGAGGCTGAGACACAGCCTCGTGCTCATGCCCAGCAGCCTTCGGGCTGTCTCTGCACAGGGTTGGACAGGGCAAACCTGGCACAGTGACACCACTGGCACTGTGCCCCAAGGCACTCAGGGGGCTTGGGTCTGCGTCCTGCAACATCCTCAGCTGTGAAGGATTTCTTGTTTTCTTGGCAGTTCCTTTGGCTCCAGGTCCTCTGGGGACAGGTGGAGGCCCTTGTTTCCTACTGCCTTGACTGCTGCTCCAGTGTCTCCTGTAGCTGCCTAGGCCTCACTCTGTCACCCCCATTATGGCACCCATTAATGGGGGGTTGTATGGATGTGGCACTGACTGCCTGATGTGACTCCTGCTCACCACTTACTAGCCCTGACGCCTGGGTGTGAGCCTTCCAGGCCTCATTTTCCTCTTCTGTGAAATGGGGATTCACGTGGTCACTCATGGTACCGTGAGGATTAAACAAATGAATACATTTAGTGTCTCTAGAACACAGGAAGTGCTAATTATGTGCTGCTATGACAAATGTCCCAACTTTTAAACAAGATAAAAATATTCTGGGGAGTGATTTTACCAAAAGGTGGGCTTGCTACAGTATTTTCTGGAAAAGAGAGGAATGAATCAGAGAAGGGAGGTGCTGAGGTTGTGACCTAAAGCCATGGACTCCTGTGCCTCATCCCAAGGTCTGTGGTCACAAGATGGCGCCATTCAGCAGGGCTTCTCCCTCCAGTTGCCTTTCCTCAGAGAGGAGCCAGTTCTGGGGGCAGCTCTGCAGGAGACAAGCTCCATCTGAGAGTTCAGCAGATGTCATGCTGAACGCCAGACGTGGGCACTCTTTCTCACCTCTTTATCCTTTTGCCAAGGTTTTGCAATCATCCAGAGTCTGTGGCATTTTCTGAGGCCACTTTGTGCCCTGCCTCTCCTCCTCTGTTGCTCTCTTCTCCCCAAAGCTCCACAAATGTCAAGTTCTCTGGAAGCCTGTCCTAATCTCTCCAGAGTGGGTTCTCTGAACACCCTGGACTCTCTTATCATGCTTATTTATCAACAAATCTTTATTTATGCCAGGTATTGTACTAGAGAAACTACAATAAGCAGCTCAGACAAGGACCCTGCCTTCGTGGTTCTTATGTTCTGGTGGGGACAGTCAACACCTGGTTTAATTTCAAATCCTGGAAAGTCCTGTTAAGAAAACAAGTGAGGGGACTGGGTGTGTGGCTCAGTGGTAGAGTGCTTGCCTAGCACATGTGAAACACTGGGATTGATCCTCAGCACCACATAAAAATAAATAAATACAATAATGATATTATGTCCCACTACATTAAAAAAATAAAATAAAACAGCATGAGAATAGGGGAGGGCAGTGGGAGGGGTACAATTTTAGTTGTGAGGTAAAGGAAGCCTCAGAGACTTGGAAAAGAGTGCCCTCATGCAAAGGCCCTGAGTCAGGAGCAAGGTGACAGCAAGACGGCCAGTGTGGCCTGTGCCAAGTGAGCCAGTGGCAGAGTGGCAGAACCTGAGATCACAGAGAGAAGCAGGGTGCATCATACAGAGCCTCTAGGGGTATGTAGAAGTAGTTTATTCCAAATATGAAATCTGATTGTAATTGCTTATTCCTTGTTTATTCTACCCCTGCAGGGAGGGCCCAGGTCTTCCCCACTGTGTGCAGAACAGGGCCTGCCTCATGAAAGGTGCTCAATGACCCACCAAGAGGATGAGCCTGTCATGGGCCTTCCCTCAGTTTCTCTCTTTTCTGGGTGCCTGGTGCTCACTGGGGTGTGCAGGAGATCCACAAGTAGTTTTATTTTTTTTAATATATTTTTTAGTTGTAAATGGACACAATACCTTTATTTTATTTATTTATTTTTATGTGGTGTTGAGGCTTGAACTCACATGTACTAGGCAAGTGTACTACCTCTGAGCCATAACTCCAGCCCCACTACTAGCTTTTGAGGGTCCTCAACAAATATGCCTTCTTTCCTCCCTGCAGACAGGGGGAGGAAAAGTCCCCAATATTAATCAGGTGATAGTCTTCCCTCTTAACCCCAGATAAAGCATAACAGGTGATTAACCCAACTTCCTGTGGAGCCCAGGAAGATCTGAAATAGAGAAGGAATTCACTGTTTGGGGGTAATGGCTGGGGGTGCTTCTTAGGCGAGAATATTTTAAGTTTATTTTACCCTGGAGCATCTTTCCTAAAATTCCTAAATGACTCGATTTATTAATAATCTGCTAATTGTACCCCGTTTTGACATAGTTTCTCAGTCTAACGATTTGTTTATTTAACCAAAAGCCTACTGGGGCCTATTAGAGGCACCTAAGGATATAAAGTGTGAATAAGTTTTTAAACAGATGATCTCTAAAATAAGAAATAAAATTTAGTCAGCGTATTCATTAGAGTATTTGTTGTGAGGAAGAGCCCCTAAGGAAGATGGCACACCCCAGTGAGGATAGCTATTCACTCCACACTCAAAACACCAGAGGCACAGTTATTTTAGATTGATACCAGGCACCCTGAGAGGCTTCTTCAACCACATTTGAGCTTGAGCCACTCTTCCCAAGTTGTGCACAGGTTGGACACAAACTGGCGTCAGGCATGACCCTGCCTTCTGTGAGCTAAAAATATTGACAACTTTTTAAATAGTCATATAGGCTAAAGAGAAATTTACTGAAAAACAAAGATAAACATTGGTTTTAACTTGTCTTTTTTTTTTTAATATATCAAGAATCTTAGTCCACCCAAAACATCTGCCAACAAGCCCTTTAAGCTCTAAGAAGGCAAACACTTAATTAAATGTTAAATCAACGTGCAACCAACATTTTAGTTTTGTAGAGGTTGAGTCCAGAATAGGATGTGTACAGTATGTGGGTTCTTCACGTTCTAGAAGAATTGTGAGGGTGGAGATATGCACATTCGTGTACATATTATAGAACTGGAGCCTCATTTTACTAACTG